CAGTTTACAATATTACATTGTAGACTGTTACAGTCAGAAATCTTGAAAGCTGAAAAATGAGTTTGGATAATAAAATTGACAGAATTTGTTATTATTTTTTAAGCACATGTCAACCAACTAATACTGCATCATTTAAATATGACTTATTTTGACCATAGAAACAATTCTGTCACTCACGTAGAGCATGTGCTAGCCATTTAGTAAATTTTTGTATGGAAAGTTTATTTATTTTGACAGAAAATCACTTTTTACTATTTGTTATTTTTTTATGAATATCTTCAGATAGAAACAGCAATAGCAAAATTGTTCATGCAACATTTTGCTAATTTTAGTGTATATTTTGTCTCAGTGGCTATAGGTTTGCTCAAAACTTAAACTTTAAAAGGTTAATGGTTTATTAGATACCTACTAAATACTGTGCATTTGAATCATATTGTGATACATGTACAAATTGATGTGCATATGTATAATATTATGTATGATGTATGTGTGAAGTTTGAATTTAAACAGTCTAGACATGTCTAAGATATAGGTCGGGAAGCACACATGCACGCACACACCGAGGTCAATCCATAAGTCCCATTTCCGAACAGCGTCCGAACAGGGGCTAAAAATATTAGATGGAAAACCCCGATAGATATAACCACAGTGTGCTCTAACAGAACTGATTTTATAGTGATGTAAAGTCAAAATGAAATTCCAAAAATCAAGTTGGTTCAGCTTTTCTAGAGATTTTACATGGCAATAGGTGATTTTTGAAGGCATAAACTTAAATGTTGTGGCCTCTGGTTACGAAACAAATTTCATGATTACTACATCAATACATGATTTTTTTATTGCCTCATTGTCACACCAGAGAATGATAAGCATATTTATTTAAGCACAAAATATCAGTGAGAAGTCATCAAATTTAAATTAAGAATTACATACGCTTTCATAATTTTAAGCGCCATGACTTCTTTTCTCAGTGCACTCAGTTCATCTTCTTGTTTCTTTTTCTGTTGAACCAAGTACTGTATATAATCTATTGATCTTTGAAGAATGGCGGCTTTGCTGAGTTTCTGTGATCCAACAGTATCAGCCTGCTGACACGTTGGCACAATGCACTGTAAATCTTCATATCCTTTCTGAAAATACAAAAATATAAATATACAGTCAAGTCAAACAAGCTAAACTGGGGCACTCTGGTTTTATCAATAGCGTTTGTTTCAAATCACTTCACTTAGCAATAAGTCATGTAATAAATTACTCAGAACCTTCAATTCAGCCAAACAAATGAATAACAAAATACAACAGACTTATTTATAACTATTGAAATAATAAAAGAAGTTTGTTCAGGCAATAAACTTTATCGCGATTCACAACAAATTGTCAAAAAACACAGTACAGTAAAGTAATCCAGTTGGGGGTTGGAAAAGTCCTTATCATTTGCACATGTTCAGCTGGAGAGTAACAATTTCTATCATTTTCACATGTTGTTCTCATTCCACATAACTGGAGAGTAACAATTTCTATAATTTTCACATGTTGTTCTCATTCCACACAAATAATGGTACAATATTTTGCAAATTTGTTTGCATTTTTTATCTACTCTTTTTCATTTTGGAAGTAAAAGAGACATATTTTTCATTATCCTTGAAATGAAAAATTATAAAAAAACAAAAAAATATTAAAACAAATGTAAATTAGATCATTTTTGCTATGAACTTTCCCAGGGGAGAACATCGCACACATGTACTTATGAAATGATCGGCTTTTGATATATATAACCAAGATGGCTTGCCTTGATTGCATCTCTTCTTTTTTGCTCAGCTGCTGTATGAGCACTTCGTCTTCTATCTTTGTAACTTTTGAGATTAGTAGTGTCACCATCATCGTCGTCATCTAAAATGAAATGCAAAAAATTATTGACCACACCTTTCAACACGATTAAATCACAAAGTGGTGATACAGTCGCAATGCAAATGAGAGACTTTACCTGTTAACTGCAGTGATGAATTGCTTTCATTGTGAGACAATGACGTAGCAGACGTAGTTTGTCTGGGTGCAAATCCTCTCTGTCCACCATTATTTGGGTCTTCTATTTTCATATCACCGTTCCCACTGAAACCTAGATCAAAATTAATTAAAATTAGTTCAAGGAACACAGACAAGAAACCCCTTTCCTAGGTGAACTATTTTCCAAAATTGAAACCAAAATCAAACTGTATGAAGGATTACTATGTGAACTCGGTTCCTGGCCCAGCATCTGAGAAATCTCAGAAGTGCTCTTCTCCAGTGTGTGAAACTCTTCTTGGTTTACTTAGAATTAGGTTCTCTGTTTACAATAAGGTACAGATCTGTGGGATACAGCAATCGTAAAAATCCGGAAGCTTGAAAATATGCTTACCCAGGGCCTGCATATTTGTTATTGTGACGAGAGCTAAATGAACAACTAATGAGTGCTAACTGAACAACTAATCTTGAGTTCCTGTTTACTCATCTATTCGTACATATTGTTTGTTAGCTGCTCACTTCTCCCTTATTCAAATCTCTCATCATACTACTACTTTTACCAGGTTAGGATGGTTCTCAACACCATCTGGTATGTTGTGTGCATTTAAGTGGTCTTTTCATGTTGCATATTCCCAGCATAGAATAAGTTTGGTTATAAGCATCATTTTTTTAGGAATGGCAGGTGGCGGAGTGGAAGCCATATTGGGTTGTGCAGCTAGGCAATTTGGTTACCAGTTTGAATCATTATTTTCAGTGTTATTTTCTCCATATATAGCACTATGCTTCCTGTGAATTATTTCTATTATATTTTTTTCAAATGTTTTGTTTTGGATATTAAAATGTTTGTTATGGCGTATGTGAGATGATTACATGAGTGTAGTACAACAGGTATGTGCTAATTGTTGTGTTGTTGTATGACCCAAATAAACTCAACGACTTCCTGATTATTGTTGACCATTGTTTATACCAATACACAGTGACAATTGCAAATAACAAGTTTGTCTGATAACAGTAACAATAACTTATTCTAATGACTTGTGCATGCTAAACTGTCGGCACTAAATTTTAAGGGGTGTGTGTGCAAATGACAAATGCATAAACAGTGATGTTCTGATGTATATATTTACACAGATAATGTTTATTGGCATACAACGTCTTGTAAATAAGACTATGATAAACAGATCAACGAGCTGCAACTTTTGTTGACTAAATGTTGATCCGTGGATTATGACAGATTGCATGTTGACAGAGTGCCATCAACTACCTGCAACTTCTTTTTGTCAACAATGGCGTTAAGTGTAATTGTTGATTGTACTCACTTTGATCGAAACCTGTATCTCCGAAACTCGATTCGTTATTTCCAGCAGAATATCCTGCGGTCTACCAAAAATATAGAATGCGTTAAAAGTCAACAAAATATTGAAAAGTGTTGAAAAAAGATTGCAACATAACATAATCAAAACAAGATATATTAGCTATGACCAGGGCCAGGGGACAACATCTCGTAGTTTTCTGATACGAATAACGTTTCAGAAGCGTTGGCCATAACGATAAACAATATCTTCCTAACATGTCCACATATTAATTATAAAATCTGCACACTTAATTGTTTAATACGCGTCTTCGCAAACGCTAATTTTAACCAACCTGTTCCTGTAACCATATTCCATCTTCATCGTCCGCCATTTTGGTTTTGCACTGGCCAAAAGTACCCGGATAATAGAGGGTGTGGATGAATCCAATAAGTATTTAGGGATGTCCGTGCTACAAAATAATAAGGGGGCAACAAATCGCCTAAGTTATGTTGTTGTACATTGAACGATGACATTTTTCTTATTTTTATATTATATTTTTAGCTTAAATGGTGTTCATGACAAGATATTTTTAGTCTGTGTAAAATATTTACAAACTTTCACTTTTTACATTGCCCTCAAAAATAAAATGACAATTTCACTCCATTCCTGAGGAAGTGCTAATCCAACGTACTAGTATTTCCGGTTATTAACTTGCAAACGCGCGATTGACCTTTCTGTGATTTGTTCGGCCTTTCTCTCCGAAATATCGACCTACACCATACTCGGATGAATCACAGAGACGAAATGAAAGACGAAGGAGTCAACATAAAAGGTAAAATTTACAAAAATGACTTGCCAGACGAGAGCATATTAATCATGGTTATGTAGAAGTTTGTCAACACCAGTGTCAGTGATCCTGTCTGTCAGTGTCGAAATATGGATGTTGATGTATAGTGAATGGAAGACGTTTGTTGAAATAACGTCGTCTTTATAATGCGACCCGTTTTGATATTTCTACGTTACGTGTACACAATGTAGTGATTCCCACTCCTATGACACTGTTGTCAACTGTTTTCAGTTTCTTACAGTGGAGTTGCTGTTGCCCGCCTGTACCTAAAGTGAACACTAGTCCGCACTATCGGGTCAACTATTTGAACTCATGGGTAGTGGCTAGGAGAGTGAAAATTTGTTGTTTTGTTCGCATTCCCTTATCTTTACATTTTTCTTTTTTTTTTTGAATATACCAACATTTTTTTCCTGGAATCACCTTGCATGCATTTTTTTCTCTTTAAAGAAGTAGTGGTAATGTTAGTTCAGTTTCAGTTAGTTAAACAGCAATTTCACTTCGAATTTCTGCCAGATCGGTATTTGCAACAAATGATGTCGATTGATGGTTAAAGCCAGGGAGTTGTCACCTGTACATGTGGCAACGGCCATAGCGTCTTCTTGTTTGCAAATAAAAGTCTACGCATGAGCCTTTGCTATGTCTTGTTATCATCACTTTTATAGTTATAAGACTCAATTTCCCCATATGTATAGGTGACGACCCCCTCCCTTTTTAATTAGTGTATAGTCGACCTGTATTGTAAAAAAATACTACAATGAATATCCATATGTGAAAATAATCCCAATGTTCATTCAAGCTATTGCAAACTAAATGTGGCAATAAGCATTCTGTAGAAGTAAATGCAAAATGGACGTAATAATACACTTGTTTGGCAATTTTTTTTCATCGATTCCTTGACATCATGGTATAATTTTTTGTCTGGCCTTGTATTCAGTGTAAAACAATAATTGATTTTGCATATTGCTTCAATTCTAGAAAGTAAAGTAAATAACGTCAACTGATGCCAGCAAACATGCCAAAAGCGCACGAGAAAACGCGTCACATGGATGATCAAGACAAAAACTTGAAGAAGGAACAGGAGAATATAAGTAATGAGGAAAGAAGCCAAAAACTTGAGCCAGTTGAAGAAACTGATGTGCACCTACTCCAACAAGGTACCAGAGAGAAATTAAATGATTGTTGTCATGACGATGAAAGACATATGACTCGCAGTCGGGATACGTTAAATACCACCACATCTTCAATCGGGAGTAAAAAAATCACATTGACTGGGACGATTCGAAGAGGTAAAAATTCTACCGACAATAACATCATACAAGTTACCTTATCTGAAGAACAGTTGGAGCTCATGAAAGACAACCATGCACAGAATGACTGTGTATGGGGAGTGGACAGAGGATTGCATGTTTTGCTCTTTAGCCTTATATGTATACCGTTTTCGTTTATTGCGTCATTTGTGTTTGCTGGTTATCAAGGAACACTTACGTGGTACAGCATATTTTTGTATTACTATGATGAGAAGACGATCCTTCATAAAATATTCATCTGTCCGGTTCTGATCCTTTTTTTCCCACCAGTGATAGTCGTTTTAACATTGGGAATCTCTTTGTACGCGATGGTCATCCAGGTTTCGTGGTTCTTCTCATCGTGGAGGAGAGACTTTTTCGACTTTGAGAAAGGTTTTTATGGTTGGTTATGCCATAAGTTGAATTTAGAGGATTGCTGTGCTTACGATGTTGTTGAAGTGTCTGCTGAAGTTACCATGGATGCCAGTGATAATGAGAATGATTTCCAAACGCTTGAGGCGCAAACTTCATTTTAAAAATTTGAACTTCTTGACTAGCCCCATGTTCATTGCTGGGAAACATGGCAGTATTAGAGTAAGATGAACCTAAAACATATTTTTACTCACCATTTTTTGACAGAATTTTGTGATCTTCGAAATTTATTTATAAAATCTTTTAACAATATTTAATCTGTTTGATCTGCAACAAACCTGTGACAAAAACAGCCATGAGATCTCATTGAGTGCAAGGAAACGATGCAACTTGTTTTTCCTCTCAATTTGTATTTTATTCTTTCCATCACCACTCATTATGGTTCCAGTCAGTGCCCAGTAGATGTGATCAAAGCGATTGAATTGGAACACTATTTGAAGATAAAAAACATGTTGCATGGTTCTTAAGATCTCTGCAGTAATTTTTGTCAAATAAACATAAAAATTAACAGATTTTAAAAGGGGAACATTGGGTCCAGAAAATAGTCACATGCAGTTAGACTATTAAATGGCATGCAATTTTTTGCTCGTCAGTTTATGCAATAGCTTATGTAATCGTGTAAGTTATATGCGACTACTTGCCCAACTCACCCGTCTGTGCTCAGAATGAAGTCTTATTTCCTAAGACATAGGTCGCACATCCTGGCCATCTCAAACTATTTTTTTTAATATCAGTGACTGCTGCTTTTATTTAATTTTTTTTGAAAAATAATTGAAAAATTCTTATTTATGATAAATTTGACAAAGACGTGTGACCTTTTTTTTAATTCTGAAAAAACCAGCATGGGAAATTATGCCCATTTAGCCAAAAATTTACAAAGAAATTATAGAAAATGACATTTAAAATTTACAAAATCAGGCAGGAAAAGTGATGGTGTTTTGAAGCTTCATTCAGACCTAGTGATCAGGAGATTTAAATTGTTGCTGATAAGATTACACAGCCAAGATAAATCCCTACAGACTCTAAAATACAATAACATTTAATTTCCTGTCTGATTGCTGTATAGTGCCTACAGAGAAGATGAGTCATAGCAATCACTGTATATCACAGATACCGTAAATAGATCTCATGCATGACCTCCCTAAAGGTCACACAATGTGAATTCTCAATTATTTTCAAACAAAAATGTCATTGAAGTAAAAAAAACCAGTGAAACATGACAGAAATTGATGTATGATATTTAAAATTATTACTGTCAATGAGCAACAATACCACCAGAAAGTACCAGGATGTGTGACCTTTAGGGGTCATGTATTAGACCTTTTGTATGTCCACGGTTAAATCTGTACAAAAGTGTTGATTGGATTTTATTGACTAGCTTTAAACGTAATTACAGATTCCATTGTATCCGCGGAAACGCATAGTTCAGCTCATCATGCTGGTAATGCTGAGAAAGGGTGTATTGTTTGCTGGGTTATATTTTGGGTGGTAGCTAAATACGCCAAGTTATTTGTACAATGCCTCATTTCCTTCACAAGCCAGTAAATTTCAAGACCTAATGAATAATCTTTAAAACTAGTTATTTACCATATTTACTCTATTAGGAGTTCACATATTATGTAGGGAAATCCTGCAGTCACAGTCACATATTTACTTGTGGGGGAATACTCTCAGTGCAACAAAAGTATTCCCTTCTTCTTTATAAATTACAATATCGCAGTTGAATTCAACCAGCCAATCAACATGCACATTGCGCAACAACGTCAATTGAAGACATTCTAATATTATTCTATCAGCCAATAGGAACCTTGTTTAAAATTGAATTGTGAAATTTTCAAATATTTATAAAGATGGAGGGAATGGGTTTATCACACTGAGAGTATGTATACAGCGTTTCATGAACTTGATAAACATGTTTGTCCACAGTGGCTGAATAAATATACCTTGACTGGTGAAGATGTTAGTAGATCAGATAGAAATTGGTATAACCTCATTTCTTTTATCTTGATGTTTATTTTTTTATACTAATATTACAAATGCTTAATGCTAAAGGATTATTTGTAATGGAAAAGGGGAGGGAGAAATTCAGTTTTGTGCGAATATTTTCACAAATGTCCACCAAATAGTTTTTATATTCACGTTTTTCGTAATTTGTTTACATTATGCAATATTATGCATTTTTTACGCAATTTTTCCCCGTTTCACCTATGCTAATTTTATTTGTAATGAAATCTTGCTTACTGCCCCGCATGAGTGTCTGAGAGACCCTTAGTAAGCACTTAACAATCTGTAAACCAAATATGAGTCTGCTGTGGATGAAGTTACTCAGAAATATTTCAAATGTTTATTTTAACTGTCACTAATTCAGATTTGACTCGTGCGTTCACCTTTAACCTTACAAATATCATATAATGATTTTAAGTATTTGTTATTCCAGTCATGGAATACTATTGTAATTCACATTCTGTCAGGAAATTATGACCCCCTAACGGTCACATATCCTGTGTTTTGTATGACCCTTAAAAAGAGTCGCGCATCGTGGCATTTTCTGTGATTTGTTATTCATTAACAATTGTCTGTGCCTTAGGAATCTATGGTGAAATGCCATAAGACCAACAAAACTTTACTGTATTTTGTCAACGTTTTCTGAACTTTGTACGATGACCCCATATTTATATACATTTTTATTCATCCTGATATTTGTAAAAGATAAAGAAAATCAGATTTACTTTTCAGTATCATTTCCAAAATTATCAAAAGGAAACATAAAAGCATTGATATATTTTTATTCTGCAAACATTCCTTCGCAATTAACTGTTAGTAGTTTCATTGACATTCAATGTTTTTATTATTCTGACTACTGATATTTTTTTACTGCTCGAGAGTGCACTATACTCATACGATGAATTACAAGAATGTTGAGTTTTTGATGACTTCATCAATATTATTAAGATGCTGATTTTCATATTATTATTGAGATTGTTTTAAAAAGCAACCAAATATTTAAATTTGTACATGTTGTATTCTGCTCAGCTAAACACTAAGAGGCTGAACCAATGTCCACTTTTCAGAGAGATAATTTATTTACTAAGATGGTTTTCATTGACTTTCTTGAAATTTTGTTCGTCTGAGCAGTGTGTCCGCTATTGAACTAATTTTTTATTGTTCTTGAGTCACAATAGAATCTCAAAAAATCAAGAGAGAGAAAGAGGTCTTCAGAAAAAAGAAAGAAAAAAGACTGGCTGCGAGTGATTTCTGAAGGCACAACTACTATAATTTCCTTTGTTTTTACGCCTATTTTGGTATATATAAAATGTGGATTTCATTTCATTAAAATCACAAATTCAATATATAGTAAGATGTTTTTCAAGATCCTTTATCGATTTTTTTGATTCTATGTTGTGTCAATAATGTACCAGGAAATTAGCGTAACAAGTTGTCATGAAATATTTGTCTGTGATGGATCATACCAGTGTAGAGGGCACACTGCATGCAAATTCCATTATTAGTGGACTCTTAAGATGACATG